ACATTATAACTTTAAACTAGCGATAGTAATTTACACAGAGATGAAAACCAGTGAGTGTATAGAAATATGCCAAAAGAAAATTGTGATGTATAATTTATGGCATGAGACATACATTCAGGAGCGAATCCTCATCATATACGGGTCAGAGACTTTGAGCTTTTTGATTCCGGAATTTTATGCAAGTTTTCATAACATTCCGATATTATGAATTGCGGTTCCATTTCGCAGACTTTTTAAAAAGAAGGTAAAAAAGTACATTTTAGTTCTCGAAGGTTAAATATTTAGCGGCTTTTAATTCCTCCCAGATTCTCAGCGATCGGCATTTTCTGGTTCTATATATTTCAGGCAAATCACCCGACTTTATGTTTCAATTAGGCCTATCTGACCTTTTGAGTATATTTTTAACATAAGTAAAACAATATCTAGCGTATTAGGCCCATGGCGTATAGGTGCGCCTCAAACGTAACTCCGCCACGGCATATGCTGTTTCTGACAGTCTCTGCAGCGGCCGATTGAACTACGTGAAGAATGTTTGGGTTCCCGATTTCTATCCCATCCTGAGAAGGCATCCCGAATGTTTTGGTTGAAAAATTTAACAGTAAGTAGCCGAAACGAGCTCAATGCTTGGGAATCCAGTGGCGTCGTTAAGTTTTAGGTGCACGGTACATTTTGATCTAAATATTATTTCAATACTGCTGCCGCGATTGCAGCAACGCTGTTAAATGGACTGGTGCCCCGCCCCGTCAAGTAGCTACGGTAAACTTTTGCTCCTTTTCTCCCAGATTTCTGGATGTCAGATTTTTTCATTCATTCATTGATTTATTCATTCACACCTAAGCATAAAAAAATCTTACGAAAATACCCGTATATCCACCGGTGTCAATGTATCAGTGCCAACACTATTTCTGAATATAAAAAAATATAGGTTGATGGTTTGATATCTGGTTAAATTACGGTGTGCGTGAACTGGTGAAAGGTGTGAGGTTGTTTAACTGTAAGAAAATCATTCTAATATGTCATGCTTCTTGGACGTTACAATAAGTATTTGCTCACAAATATCTTAAATGGGGTTTATTTTATTTAGTTAAACGAAGTGTCCGGTGTGGTCATAATGTTCAACAATAGCAAAAATATGCAGCGCCTTCAAAATGTCGCCTTACTTTGAAGTCGAAGTTACAATTACAAAACTCGATTACAAAAGAGACCTTGACCTCTTTCGTAATACATCGAAATAAAAGTGATTACGTTTGTTGGTATAGGAATAAAAAATAGATACAAGGCGCTGAAACAGATCCATTGCGGTGTATGCCCCAAATATTGATTTTAAATAAATGATAGAATAATAACCCAGATATTCCAATTCTACAAGTGGTGAGTCAGAATACCGCGAACTTTAAGAAGAGGAATATCTATAGAGACTATAAAGAGTTCAAGCGAAAATTTGTAAATAAATGCGCTTCAGCGACAATTGTTAGCTCCCAGTTCGTCTCTTCCACTTTTGTCCTTGTCTCTTTGTACGCGCGATATTTCATCATGTTAGCTCATATTTTGCCGATTTCGACCCTCGCAAGCTTCGCCAGTTAAAAGCTGGAAACTAAAACAAAAAACCATATTCGTCAGGATAGCATGTTGCTCCTGCAGCCATTAAATGAAAATAAATATATTAGTGTAAAAATACCATAACATAAAAAAAAACGGAACGTGTGGTTTCCAGCATGGGAAAGCTGCTATGATCTCGGAATGCGTTGCTTTATATAAGTGTCATTATAATTTGATACACCCTGGGCTCCACTGAATAACCCTGTACCCCACTAGTCTATTTTATACCTGTCGATCTCAAATCATCGCTTGATTACTGTCGGTGAGAGCACTTCTGATTTTTCAGAAACTTGTTCATATCACTGTGAGAATCATTAGCATATGTGCAGCAGGGCTCTTCATGGGACCAGGTCAACCCGAAGTCCCGGGCCGAGCTCGGGTCGGGTAGCACGGATAGTTTCCGGGCCCGAGTTTGGCTCATTCCCGAAAGCACGTAAGTACTGAAATTTTTTATTCCATCTTAACTTCAGTTCATTCTTGACTGCATAAAATTTGTGACTTGTATGCTCTATAATATCTCGAAATTTTCGTCATCTTTTGAACCAGTACTTTTTGAGATATCTGCGTTGACATTCGTATTTTAATGCCGACACATAACGTCTTGACAGCGTCTTTTGTGGCAATTAGGCTAAACGAATCAAATGCACCAGCCCTTCGCCAGGGCAGCTTCGAATTCAAGAGATGAGGCACGCCTTGGCGTCTCACCCGTTTCCCCTGATCAGGTAGGCATCCCATCGGGCCGAATTCGGGGCCAGGCCCGATTAGGCTAGGCCTGGTTAGGTCGGGTAAGACTAAGAGTCAGCGGGTCCGGCCAGGATCGGGCCTCGAAAGTATAGGCCCGTGCAGTGCTCTAATATGTTCACCACTGGACAAAAGACCTGAACGTGTCACGTCTGCTCCACCGTGAGGCTCGAGGGTCACTTCAACAGAGGGGGGGAGGGGGGGGGGGGGGTGGGGGCGGGGGGGGGGGGGGGTATTCGCTTGAGGTGATGCATGCATTTATTTTCCTGTCCAGGTTTCAAGCTTGGTGGAAATTGATAATATTTCGCTTTGATAATGAACAAAAAGTACAGCAACATTGTTCTCAAACATTTAATATAAACAACTCGTCCAATAAGAAAATTAGTTTTACAATAGTCTGAGATGCACGACGTTTTTTTTTTAGTGACAGAGATGTTTGAAAATAGTTATAATTTGAAAACAAAACATAAAAAATCAACAAAAATGTGATAATCTCTGTCTTAAGATTGAATAAGTCAATCAGACCTCGTCATGCATCCTTAATTATTGGATAAAGACAGCACAAAAAGTGGCAGTTATTTCAGCATCCCTCAGAGCATTCGTAATGTTTACATAATTCTGTTTCATAATATCCTCGAATAGTCCCAATGAGCGAAAATCAATTGAAATGAGGCATCTCTTCAGTCGCGAAACCGCAGCAGTTTTGCTGTGCAAACAAATCATTTCGCTATTAGATTATTATTTCGTTCTAGTATGTGCCTCAAATAAATATCTGCTGATAAAACACATGACGCGGTAATAATGCTAGTCCAGCGCTTAGTTTTTTTGCTTTGAAGCAAATAAACTGCCGTTGCTATCCTTGATGTGTAAAGAAGAAATAGATACGACTAAATGCTCGTAATAAATATGTTCTGTAATTGTAGCTTTTTTCAATGTTGTACACCTGATAAACATGTGTCTAAATTAGGGTGATGTCTAGCAGCACACAATTAATCTTCCGCTATTTTCTGGACGCAGCTTTTTATTTCGACATGAAAAGTAGGGGAACTTGAACAAAGAGCAGATTGGCTCAGATGACTTGAAAGACGGAAGAATAAGCAATACAGGGAAGGACACACAAAGACAGGGCAGCTCTTTGAAGTAGAAACCGACGTTCATGATGCCTCCTCAATGGGTCAGCGCTTGGTTGTGTTAGAGAGTCGCTGACCCTTTGAGGAGGCATTATAAATGTTGGTTGCTCATTGAAAGAACTGTCCTGTCTGTGTGTGTCCGTCCCTATGTGTTTTATTCTTTCGTGTTTGAAGCCATGAAAAGTAAGTTATGTTGCTGTTCTTGGCGGGATCACTTTAAAGATCAAAAATATTATTCTGCCCTTGGCTATAACTAAAGCCACTAAATGAGCTACGCTTAGAGTTCTGCACTCCGTTCTCCGATCTGCTAGTGGGCGCCGCCATCTTGGTGCTTAGAGGGGAGTACACGCTACTGTAGTTCGTCATCACTCAGAAATGCCACTTCCTCAGCTTTAGACATGGTGGTAGGAAGCTGAGGTGATATAGTTTTAATATTTCGCGAACTGTCCTAGTATTTCTGGAGGACGAAAACACATTTTCTGCGATTTCAAATAAAGCGTCAGGTAACTGAAAATCTTGAGTTTAAGCACCAAGATGGTTGAAGTGTCCTTACTTTGAAGCGTAGCTTTTTTAGTTGTAACCATTCAGTGAATTTTTATATTTTTGAACGTTATGCGAGGCCTGAAATTTAAGTCCTATCGAAATAACGATCACAGGATTTTGCACTTCCGAATGCCTTCCCTACTTTAATAAAATAAACAATAAAAGTTTAGGTAAGGAAATTTATAAAATTTATATATTCTAATCATAAGCATTTCTCAGGCCGAGTTTAGTATGTTACTTCCTTTTATTTTCAAAAAGCTCCAGATTTAATGTCGCATTCCTATATATATTTTAAGACGGCTTTATTGATGGTTGCCCGAATACTTTTTTGCATAGGATGCTTCAAGATATTTCTGATTAGAGTCAAATAAAGTGTGCTCGATTTGATGAGCAATAAATTCCTGACAAAATTGTACTAATATTCGTGACTGGTGAAGTTGCGACATAGCGTTTTCTTGATAAACTTGCGCGAGAGGGAAGGGGTTAGCCCAGGTGAATTTTATATGTCAGAAAATTCGCACTTTCACTGTATTCATGTGGAAATATAAACATAATAGCAATGAAGGGACAACGTAATAAAGTTGACGAAAGCACGTTACCGCTCCCTGTGTTTTTCGTTTTTACGCATATATTGAATTTATTATAGCAATATTTCTTGATGATATATTGACGCAGCGCATTTATTATTACAATTCTATTCCAGTTGCTCAACTGAGCGCTGGCCCGGCCCGACAGTCTACGGATTTCATGAGCTCACATTTTCTTCTCGTGTATGCAGATTGCGATATGAAAAGTACGTTACAAAAGCAAGGCAATACATCTGCTTCCTTTCAAACAGTGCGCAAGTGCAGGGACGTATGCAAACGGAAACGCACCAGACAAAAACAAAATTAAATGGCACGTGTTAGCCTCTATATAATGCCCTTTGGAGTGAACATCCTAGCAGATCTAGCGATAAGCGAAGTAGGACTGTCAACTACTGCAACAATGTTTGTCATAATTCATGCCATGCTCGCTCTTCTGGGTTTGAACTGCTATGGCGCCACTGTCACTTACCCTGAAAGAAATCCGTTGCTGGGCAAATATCAGGACGAATCACAGGTTTGCATGAACTCGCTACTATTTTTTTCATTGTTTAACACTGTGCACGCTTCTTAATTTTAACTTTAAGCGTGTTATCATGCCAAAGTTAACAATATAAATAGCCAGATTTGTGCATTGTATAGACCCCTATCGAAGGACTACCCTCTGTTGACAGCTGCGGAATCACTGCATAATGGCGGACAAAAACGGCCCACTTTATGCGTCCCGGCGCAATTTATGAGTATGGTTGGTTGGGAAGGCAAAAACACAGCCATAAAGAAAGCCGATGAGCGCAGTGACATTGCATCTTTGTCGCCGTTTCATTGGCTCGCGGGCTTCTGGTGTTGGCAGTGCTCGAACATTCGCTATCTTATGAAATTACTTGCACGTTCCACAATGTAAGTTGTTCCGCCATTGTGCAATAGTTCCGACCTTCTAATAATCGGCACGTGATTTTGAAAGGGATGTAGAAAGACCGATTTGATTAAAATAATTATTAATTTCTACAGTAATCCCTCCGTATCTTTGTATTATAATTACAGCATATAGGGCATGTCATAATATATTAAAAACACTTCCGATGTGTTTTGTGAATACGTCTGAGTCCAAACGAGAAATAATTCAAGTAGTTACACAAATACGAAACTCTAATTTTTGTCCGTACGTACAGTGATGCCACGCAATCCATCAGCATTAAGCGTAAGCTCGCTGCGTCGCTGAAATCACACTAGAGTACATTTCAGTGATCTTAGTTTTTTTTCAAAGACGGCTTCAGAAACGCAGGGCTTACTGAAGCAGTTCAGTGGAATGTTCAGCTATCTGCTCACACCTTGCTTCAGCGCTTTCCTAACATTTTTGCGTCTTCTAATTGCTTCGTATTTCAATTAGATTCAACTCGTGCATCGCTTCCCTTCACTGAGTACACAGAAAGTGTGAAGGACATACGTCACGCAATCCAAGCTACTGACCATTATTCAGAAAGTCATACCACATATGACGGGAACTATGACAGGAGTTTAATTACTGTTAATCAAATAGGTGCAAATATTTTCATTGCTACTTCTCAAATTCGTGAGCCTACCGTTGCCACGTATTCAACATTTGCTTTATTCAGCACAAAAATCGACGCTTTTTTTGTTTTTTTTACCTTGTTTCAGAATTACGATCCCCAAGTAGCACACTTACTCGTCAAGCTTGGGCCAGACTGGCGCGAGCTAGGGCCAACTTAGCGCAAGCCTGTCGTAAGCTTGCGCCAAAATGGCCCAAGTAGGAGCCGGGGAAGTGTGCTGCTAGGGGAAGAATTGAAAAATGAAAGGCTGTCGTTTGACCACTCAAAAAAACACAAATAACTATTTTTTTCAACACATAAAAAAAAAACCTGACCCACCTTCACCATTTGAAATCTTGGCAATAAGCAGTGTAGTGTTTGCGAATAAGGAATTAAATTGGGAATCACTTACAGGCGCGTGTCTTGAGCACTGCTTCTCCCGTTGCTTGGCATTTGCTAGGGCAAGGCTTTTCCCTACCTACGACTCTGAATGAGCAAGTAAAAACTATCACGTTAATGGGTTGTCGTCGGCGTAGTATGTTTTAAACTGATACACACGCTGAGCTTAAGAACTTGAACTACGAGTGTACAAGAATTGGGCGCGCCAACGGATATAAACTGAAATGTGAAGACATCTTACGGGAACCCTTCGTTTCAGCTTAAATCCAGACGTAGCCAACGCTTCCAAGTGATGGGACCAAATAAGCAGCGTCAAAAGCGCGAGTAATTAGGGCCTTTTGTTTATGATTGGTTAAACGGTGATAGAACACGGAGGAAACATGGCGAACACCATGATTTCGCTCTTTTGACACTGATTGGTACCCTCAGCTTGAGCGTTGCCTGCGTCTGGACTTACGCTTAAACGAAGTATAGTCGGCTTTAGTAGACGGCTCATTTTTAAAGGAGGTGTTGTAGGCATTAAAAAAAATTTAGAATAATCAAAATAAAATTCCAATAAAACAATCTAAAGTACCATTGCGTATACGAAGTACAATATCTTAGTATTCAAGATCTGTTCATAGGCATCAAAACTCAACACCACAAGCTTATAATCAATTCAATATAGGCCTGGGTACTACTATATGCATCGTTTTATTCCATTCAACAGTGCTTTCCACTCCAAGAGACCTGGTACATGTTGTACAGGAACTATGCGTTCGACCCGGCATTTGGTGGCACTGCTAAATGCGTTCGATTCACAAATGCTGGTCCAGAAGTAAACGGCGCATACCCGCTCGTCATCAGTTTTGGAAACAGTTCGAAGTAAGTAAAATTTACCTTATCATATTTGGCACCGACATCCCTGACAGCTGAAGAAACCGACGACTTGCCTTAGTACGTTCATGGGTCTGGTTCCGCATTGGTTCATTGGCTTTCTTGTTGGCTAATATAGAGTGCAAGTCAACTACTTCCTGTGCAGGATTGGCGGTGACGTAAGAACGAAGCCGAGCTCTTATTGGCTCTTTGAAAAAAAGAGTGGATAGGCCTCAAGGTATCTAGCATTGAGATCTACCCTTTAGTTTTTAATCAGCCAATAAGTGCTCGGTGTCGTTCTGACATCACCGCAAATCCTGAGCAAAAAGCAGACTGCTTGGTCTCCGCATAGTGCAATCATACTCGCTGCCGACGAGGCTTGGGACTCTTTTTATCGTGTGTGCCTTAGGCTGCCAGTGAATGTATATTTAGTTTCTTCGTGACCTTATTCGATAAAGGAAGTTTTACGTTTGAAAGGAACAGGTAAGTTAAAGTATGACTTATTCAGTAGCAGACCTCGTGCGTCATTCGAACTCTGGCCCCAGCTCGTTTCATGAGGCGAATAGCCATATGAATATTTCCACGAATGAAACTTACTCAAAGGACAGAAATAGAGATATTAATTTTCTACATCAAGATATTCGGTCCACAAACCTGTATGCAAAGGGTTGTGCCGACAATAAGATAGGCACTCGCCCTCACTCTAAAAAGGGGTATAATCTTACACCCTTTTGTCCCATATAATGCGCCCCAAAACTTTAGTTCGACGTACAGCGCACTACAGTCGAACAGACGGCTCCAAATATTACGAGGGGTTTGATACGGTGCGATACAACTTATTAAATAGCTGAAGTAGCTATCAAAGACCACAGAAATAGAACATTAGGGTTTTACAGAAAAGCCCAGAAAACCACAATTTTCTTTTTAGTCATTATCATTAAGTATTTTATTAAGTTGTACCACACGGCTATCAATCCTTTCGTGAAAGTTAGTACAGTCAGATCAATGTCAGTGTGCTCTACGTCGAAGTAAGGTTTTGGGGTGTATTATATGGGACGAAGGGAGTAAGAGAACACCATGTTTGTTTAGAGTGCTCTAGATAGAGCAATTGTTTCCTTAGTATTCTGACGGCTTTCGAGAAGTACTTATACTAAAACAGCTTAAGGGCGAATTCCACTCTCGGGTTTTGCGCTCTCCGTTATCGACTTTTCTGGGGCACTCGTCCGCCACTGGGCGTTTGGGATGAACACTCATGTCGTTCGATTGCTGTTTTAGAGCAGCGCCAACTTTAGACCTCCATCGGGATGGCCCAGATCTTGTCCCGCCAGAGTCCTTGAATCCTCCTAGAATCCAATCTCTGCGGAAACGTATCACTGCACGCATTGCATGCCGGTTGCGATTCGGCGACCCATTGAATCACTGGCAAGCATGGCAGCAGAGACGGACGTCGGCATGATCGGTCGAAGTTCTAGAATTTTTAATCCGTGAGTGTGGCAATGTAGTCACATATCGGAATAAACCAAACCTCGACGTCTGAGCAGAGAAGACGGATCCACCCGTGTGGCGGCGTCGGAGCCGCGGCTTCAAGAGAGCAAAGCTGCTCATTATTTCAAGTTAGTTTACCTCCTGGACATTGGCGCTTTGTGAGCGTTTGCAGCTTCAGTCATCGCACACAACGTATATTATCTGCTCTTTGCCGGTGCTCAGGTTGAAGCTATTACTGGAGCTTACTGTATTTTCAGTGATAGTTCAAGAATAAGATTCTTTGTTTGATATTGAGACAAGGAGGCAGGGGCGGCCCCAGCAATACACTAGGAGGTTCAACGTCGGTGTGGCGTGCGCATGAACAATTGGGGCTGCCCGTGAAAATCCTCGTTGGTCCCATGTCTGCAAAAGGAGGTCAAATTAGGTTGGATAGAAAAAAGTGAAAGCCGCTTACAACTCCCTGTAACACCGAATTAGAGCGCAGCTCTTGAGGAGGAGGAGGGAAGGGTACTGGGGGGTGAAGTGACCTGGGGGGGGTCACGTGACCTTGGGGGGTCACCTGACGATGCCGATGATGTCATCAGTGACGTCACTGATGACGTCATCCGTGATGATGACGATGGCGATGCGGATGCCGGTGACGTCATCAGTGACGTCACTGATGACGTCATCAGTGATGATGACGATGACGATGCGGATGCCGGTGATGTCATCAATGACGTCACTGATGACGTCATCAGTGACGATGACGATGCGGACTCCCATGACGTCATCAGCGATGATGACGATGACAATGCGGATGTCGGTGACGTCATCAGTGACGTCACTGATGACCTAATCCGTGATGATGACGGTGCGGTTGCCGGTGACATCATCAGTGACGTAACTGATGACGTCGTCAGTGATGATGACGATGACGATGCGGACGCCGGTGAGGTCATCAGTGACGTCACTGATGACGTCATTGGTGATGATGACGATGACGATGTGGATGCCGGTGACGTCATCAGTGACGATGACGTCATCGGGGAGGTCACGTGACTTGGGGGGTCACGTGACCTCAGTTGTCACTTGACTTTGGGTGTCACGTGACCTTGGGATGACCTTGGGGGTCGCGTGACCTTGGTGTGACCTTGGTTACGCCGACGGCGACGGCGACGGCGACGCCGCTCAAGCCGGGAACGGGCCCCTAAGAGCTGCGCTCTAAAAAGCAATTAAGGAAATGCCAACTCCGGCAGCTCAAGCTCAATTACACCTCGGGTTCGCAAGGGCATGGCCAACGTGGCTGCCCATGAATACCCCCGTAGAAACCCGCCTTGGCTATGAAGAGGCAGAGCTAACGTAGCTATGGGTTTCACGGGAGCAAAGCACGGGAATGCAGAAATTGGACGGCAGTGAAATTTCTTAAATGTATTGTTCTGCTGATATTGACATTGTTAATATTGAGTGAACGTCCTAAAAATTTAATATAAGCGGTTACACTAGATGACAAAGCAAAGTTATATATGACGCGAGAGACAGGTTTGGGTTTACTAAACTTGATTACGATATTTATACTAAGTGTGCATGAGCAGAGGACAAGGTCATGAGGGTAAATTTTTTTTGCAACGCGGTTATCGTAATGTGGTTATTTCTTCTAAAACTTGTAGCATGTAACCAGTTCCAGCTAGCTATGCATCCCGGTTACCTGTCTAACAAAAATTACATGAAAATGCGCTCAACGTTCGGTTCAAATATATACACGGGAAATTAAAAAGGTTGTTGAGTTTTTTAAGATCAAAACATACGCAAATATATAGTTATCAGAATGGTAATCTTTTTTTTAGTAGGCTGTCTGTAAAAGCTAGGCGTGCCGAATTCGGAAGGCATTACATTAACCCAAAGTTTAGGGTGAAGTATAAAATTATATTAGGCCCAGCATCGACTGAGAAACGGTGAAGCTAGTACAACCACGCTAGGGTTCCGAGGAACCTGATGTAAGTCCACACGCAGGCCCACTGTGGATTCCATAAGGAATCCCTATCGAAAAGACCATCAGGAAAATCCTGATGGTCTGATGGAGTCGTATTTTGGGACGTCTGATGGTTTGATGGCCTGATGGTCTGTTGGCCTGATGGTTTGATGATCTATTGGCCTGATGGTTTGATGGTCTGTTGGCCTGATGGTTTGATGACCTGATGGTTTGATGGCCTGATGGTTTGATGGCCTGATGGTTTGATGATCTGTTGGTTTGGTCTGATGGTCGAATGACCTGTTGTATTTTGAGACGCCTATTTTTTTACGGTTTAAATATGGTGGTTTCATGGCTAATTTGGAACAGTTCGAGTTGGCCACAACTTAAAAAAACACAACAATATGTGAATGCATAATCTGGAAACTTATTTATGCCATGCCTGGAGCATGACGAGGTGCATATCCCACTTAGAATTTAATTATATTGTCCACTGCACACTGGTAATTGCAAGCCCGACATTTGAGTACGGCGAATGCAGCTACTAATAAGAATAAAGTCAAACAACCTGCATTGCTTTGATATTTTTATTATAAAGTTATGAAATCATACATTGTTTCGCTGGGCGGAATGGCTAGGTGGTACAGAAAAACCAGAAACATTTGAGGAAGAACTATTGTGAACAATATTAGTTGAAGCGCCATGACGCTTGGCGTGTGGTACTATCAGAGCCACCTGTCGGATTTTCAGTGAACCTCTGTGTTTGCTGAGGTTTAGGCAGGTTGCTTCTTGCACTCATTGTGCCACTATGAGCTGAAAATTGACACGGAACGGCATAGTGGTGCAACGAGCACAAGAAGTGATTTGTTTCTACCTCAACGCATATCAAGGTTTGCTGAATAATCTGAGAGACAACTCTCATCGCGTGCCACGTGCAGTGGCGTTTCAGCTCATATTGGCTGCGATAGTACATTTGTTCCATTTCAATAGTATTGGCAATATATAAATTAAGCTAAATAAATATGAAGAAAAGGGTAAAAAGGCTACAACATAGGGTGCAAGCGATGGCAGACCTGCAACAGCATGGGCAGTCCGTGGTGGGACCACGCATCGGGGAAGGACAGGCAGCAAAGGGATGAGCCTGGACATATCAAGGGCAATTCAGAGATCAGCTATGAGTCCAAACACAGGACGACCATTGGCATACGTAAACAGCAGAGTGGGCCTAGAGACGACTAAGGGGCAGTAAGAGTGACGTGCTTCATTGTAATTGTGTGACCATGCAACTTTTTGGAAAGTGAGCGAACACGGCCTGATGGGATGGCAGTAGCGACCAAGCAACCCACAGCCTTTTTCAAGTGGTCAGCTGATCAACAGACTACTTTAAAGTTGTTTGCATAAACATTTAGATATATTAACCTCTAAATAATTTATCTATACCATCATTTAAAATAATTGCTTGTAAACTTGAGACCCAAAATAGTATATTACTTAATTAAGGAAGTTAGAGTATATATGCACATACTTTGTAGTGATTTCTCTTGAGATTGGACAGCTTTTCTGACAGGTACCGCCGTATCTTCTGGTGCCGGGCGCCGGGCTGCCCTTTCAGCCTGGAGGTACCTTTCTCACTCAGGTGTAGTCAAAAGCAGCCTGGAATATTGAAATTCCAGGGTAATTATTTTTTGCAGTGCTCAGACTTAAAACAATATAGAACGTCGTAAATACAGGCTGGAGGGTCATAGTTTGAGAAGACCAAGGGTAAATTAGTCTCAAATGAAAGCAATTAAGTGGCAGCTGGCACCTAACAAACCTTCAACGTTTCTTAGTATTTACAGTGTTCAGAGATCACCATGAAAGCAAAAGTACCGCAGTATCCTGATTTATGTTCCACTCCCAATAGACAGCTCACCCTGGCTTCTGTTAGATTCTTTTAAGCACAAAACAGGTAGCCCATGTCTATAAATCTCACTGCTAGGCTAGTGACCTTGTAAGAAATAGGAGCTACAACTGTAGATAAGTAGACAATGTACGTTGGAAACTGCTTATACTTGGTTATCATCCCTCGCTGTGGTAACAGCTTAGACACGCCACAGAATTAAAAAAATAGCATCATGAGCACCAGAAAGAACAATGCAGTTCTATATAAAAACAATCTTTCACATTCCTTGAAAGATCTTCCATTCATGGCCTGGCTCTAAATTTAAAGGTAATTAAACACTCTTTCAATGTGCACCTGGTGGAGGCCTCTGAAGCTTCGTTGGGAGGTAATCTAGCAATGTTGGGGATCTTGGACGTAGTCGTGACATGGCAAAAACCGCTATGTAGCAGCACTACATATCGGAGCAGCGCCGCTGTTTGGAGGTATACTCAACTGTTGGAGTAATCTCGCCCTGAACGCGATGACCTTGACATTACTTATCTCACACATAGGCGCTTAGACGGCTTAGTCCGTTTGGTCCACGTAAAGCCCATAGGTGTTTCAAATGGCTAGGCTGTAACACATCTACACCACCACTATGCACCCGAACGGCACAGCTCGTAGCCACGCCAGCTTTGCCGGATAGCCCACGACGCATCGAGCTCTCCGTTGACTTCTCTTCGAGCACTTGCTTGAGTTTGTTCCTTAGAACGAAAAATAAAATTATCTGTTCAAAATACAAATGTGCGATTATTTACGGTTATTATCTGTTATGATTGACTCATTCTTGGCAGGGTACCCCCATCACATGTCCAGGTGTTAGCAGAGAACCTACTAGAGTAAAATCTCGGTGATACTAACTGGTACGAATTTCGGAATAAAACAAATTAACAAATTCTCCGGCCGAAGTGCATTGTATACGACGTGAAAATTTTTGGGTGTTCCGAATTCCTCTACGCGCTGCGACGGCTGATACGAATGCTTGCTCCACAACTGATAGTAGCAAGGAGGCCATGATCGGCGACTGTAAGCTTTCAAGGCTTCGGGCGGCTGATTGCCTGCTGCTGCCAGGGATCAGCCGCACTTTACCCAAAAACTGGAGCTCAAAATTACATGCATGTTACAATCGGACCCAAAAACCAAAAAAAAAAAAAAATGCTAAAAAAAAACTGTGCAAAGTGGCTAGCCCCATCACCATCAACACATGTTTCAAATCCAATCCAATCTAAATCCAAAATCGCTTTTTTGTTTTTGCGATCTCGTGGAATGGTGTTTCAGCCTTGGAAAAGCAAAACCGATTTTACTATAAGGTTACCTCTAAAAAACAAAGTAACTGCGTTGGCAAAAACAAAAAACCGAGTGATGTTGGTGGTATCTTCGGTGTGGTCCACGGTGACATGCGAGCTTGGTTGGAAAGACAAAGAAACCGAATTTTTGCTTGCAAGTTTTTGATGTAGGGCTTCAACAGCACATAGTGTGGGCACTTTCCTAGTATGTGCATTTGATAAAATGTTTTCCACAAAGTGTATGTTGTTCAGCCGTCATTATGTTATCTGCGAAGTAGAATCGACATTTATCTGCGCAGTAGAATCGACATTAATTCATTTTTTCAACATTCGTGGGTTGATTATAACCGTGTGTTACTATCGGGGGCGTGTTAGAATCGTGTAAATTGCATACAAGATATTTTCTGCCATAAATAAATGCACATTCATGCATTCCTTGTGTTTCAAAATATAAATTTTGTTTCACTTTCGTTGATACGAATTTAGCATGAAATATTTTACGCGACTCCGCGAGATTCATATCAAGATTTTAAAAATGTTTGCTTAATGAGAGAGCCTGCACCTTACGCTAAGTGAGCGGGGCAAACGCCTTCTCTTGCCTCGCTGCCTTTGCCTTGTTGGAGAGGGTGCCGGTCACCGACCTCTCCAAAAGCACTTCCACTCACCCTATGGAAGCAGCAGTGATCTTGCAAAACATGGAGTCGCACTCTGCTTTCCGCATGTTGCCCGCATTCCTGGTTGACGTGAACACCTTGCCCGACATGGATCTGTTAAAAACAAAAGCGAGAAACAGCTTCACATATACCAGTCGTTGACGTAGAGTGGTACTGTATACTCCAAGATGCGTTGAAAATGCACTAAAATAATTACATTATGAAATTTAGGCCTTTAAATTTAAGACAGAACTACACATGAATTCCTATCTTCATGGGCGTCTGCGAAGCTAATGGGCCTACAAAGCTTCATGGCATCTGCATGAAAGAGCTACATAATCCATAATACATAATTTAGTGTTGTGTCGTTTACCCGCAGTCTCGGGGTATTTTCAACCACATACATAATCCCTTAGTTGCATCAGGTGTGCATGACAACAGAATGTTTTCCAGGCACTGGCTGTAACTACAATTAAAAGCCTGGCTACAATAATGTTTTAATGACTTCTTGTTGCAATCGATTCAATCTACTGTGCTTACATTATCTCAGGAGTGGCCAAAGTGAGGCTCGCGAGCCGCACGCGGCTCTTTGCGGGTCCAAGTGCAGCTCGCTGCTCCCTGGAAAACGTGTCCCCTAGACGAAAAGGGTTCTAGAATTTAGAAAGAGCTACAAGTCTTGGCAGCCTTGCAACACACTACATATATACACCTGGAATGCTTTTTGCCACATAGATGCGTCGAGTGACCCTGTTTCCTTTATTGTTCTAGAAAGACTTTCAACCGTATACGCATAACAGTTGTCAGGGGCAGTGACTGGCTAGTAAAACGTGTATTAATTTTTGCTTAGCAGTGGAAAGGACCTTCTGATGCATAGTGTCATTTGTTGTTATCGCCCATTATACTTGTCCTCTATGGAAATAACTGTTCCCTCTATATTGTTTCTTGTTAAAAGTAGCCCCCCCCCCCCCCCCCACACTTTCTTTTTTCTAGCGACTCTAAACTTTCGTAGTTTTGTCTGCGGCTCTAACTCCATGTCACTCTGGCCACCCCTGCACTATCCTAAACTCTTTTAATGTATATTACACACTGAATGAAAGTGAAAAGTTTTTCTATTTTACCCTTCCTTCCTTTTCTGGAGGCCGATGCTAGGATCCACGATCTCATTCTTTGCAAGGATGTCCTCGTCAGCAACTGAAAAAAACAATTTCACATTAAAGAGGTACAGAAACCAAACTCCAGCGCACATTTTATCGCTTTAATGAGTTGCAGGTTGCAACATAACCTCAAAAATACCAGTCCTTTGCTGAAGGGCACAAGCAAACTAATTTTAAAGCTAATCAAATAATCTTTCAATGTGCACCTGGTGGATGCATGTGGAGCCTATTTGGGAGGTAATCTAGCAACATTGGGGAACTTGCTACGTAGTCATAACGTAGGAAGGACGTTCCTTGGTCATTCTGCTCAGCAACAGGGCGCAGCCACAACAGTAGAGTAGAAAGCTCTTTGCCGTTTATGCCTTCTTTCTCAGCATTATTGTTTCCACCCTTTATGAATGAATATCCTCTATGCAAGATATAAGCCATCTGTTGCATATGACATGTTCGGCTCTATCACCGCACAGCAAACTTCTTTCATATACTGCAGGTTCATTAAAAAAGTTACCTTTTTAATGCTAAAGCATGGGTTCTGTTAGTACGGTAAACATACGAGTACCGAGAGGTCAGGCCATAAATGACTTACGTGTTAGGCAGTAGGGCCCTACAGCACCTACCGCATCAACAGCCGAGCCGCAGGTAGTCCTGGAATTGATAGAGCAGGGTAAGTTAGAGAAAGGTGTTTCTAGCAGCTCTGCCAGTGAGCCCCCTAGCAGCATTACTCACGCACATTGGGGTGTAGGCAGAAAGCATGGCATTCCTCATCAACAAATCATGACAACACATTGTTGCCGGCATCGAACTGGATCCCTGTGCTATTTTTCTTTTTTTTTTTTGGTGTGCTTTAGTTGATTCTTTGTCTTCCTTGTCACTCCCGACTGCTTTACTGGCCTTTGTGAACTAAAGAAGGCTTGGTAAACTGCAAAGCCTTGAGAGCAATCCCAAGGAAGTATAAATGTTAAGGACTCGACATGACATTACGCGGTGTTGGGATTCCCAAGCTGCTTTCCACACTCACATTTTGTGCACGACCAGCTCTCTTTCTGCATCAGTTGGATTGGTCAGTTGTGTGCCCGTTTCGGTCGCTGCTAGCCATATGTGGCTGGCGCTGCTTTTGAGAGCCTTGCAACATCGTCACTTTCAGCTTTTGTCCTGACATAAACCGCATCTAAAAATTTAATTAGTGCTAAGATTTAGCTTTTGGACACTCCCAGAAAAAATAGGCTGTACCACATTACATAGACAGGTAATGATATTCTGGTGACAAAATTTCCACAAAAACTGCTTTGCGTTAGAGGGCACAAGGGCTGACGTTCCTGGGAGGAACAGCTTTGTGTGAACTTGCAGATGCTTCAGCTGCCTGTTTGCGCCTGGCCAGTTCAGTTGCCATTTCCTCTTGGGTTTCTTGTAGGTACAGTCGGGGACGAAATTCTCCAGGACACGCAAGCTGCGACTGAAACGCATTCCTCTGCCATCTGCCGGCGGGTCGCCTGGTTTCGAGATCACAGAAGGGCGCACGTGCGTCCTATTGTACCTGCCAACGTGTGCACTTTCCCGCTCTGCTGCGGCGCGGCGCCTAACTCGGAATCGGGCGCGTGGTACCACTTCGGAGATAGCGCTTACTGACATGGCACCTATAAAGCAAGAAGTCACGGCAGCTCAATTAAGCGATAAGCTGAACTGGTTATAAAGCAAGGTGCGCTGACACGACGAAATTCAACGCAATGCCCCAGGCGGTATCTCGAATTTTGGAATGTATAGCAGACGCTCGTCAGCCACCAGCGCTATCTCCGAGGCAGTACCATGTGCCCGATTCCTAGTTAGGTGCTGTGCCACAGAAGAGTAGGAAACGCACATGTTTGCAGGCAGAGTAGGACGCGCATGCGCTTTTGTGTGACCTCGAAACCAGGCGACCCGCCAGCAGGTGGCAGAGCAATGGGTTTCAGCCGCAGCTAGCACGTCCTGGGGACTTTTGTCCCCGACTGTACAGTTGTGATCATGAATAAATAAATTGGTCAGGAAGCAATGGCAGCTGATGCAACATCAATGCAAGCCATGTATTATATGACTCGCATGAATTGACATTGAATCAGCCACGATTGTGCGCCTAAGTTTGTGCTGCGGAGCGCAAGAGTTTGGCGCTCTGTTCATTAAATGGACAGAAGCGCCACCAAAGGACTGACACTCAAGCGTGCTCTTTTTGCACCGAGTATTTCTCGAAGTGCAAGACATTTCTTCGCGCTGACAGAAACGTCGCAGAGACGAGGAGTGCAGTGGATCGCTGCCTCATTTCAGTTGAAGAATGCTTAACCCAGCGAGTAAAATGATTTGATTTCAAAGCCAGGACCATTACGGAAAAGGTTTGTTCCCGAATCTCACCTGAAAACGAATTACCCATCGAACAGTAGCGTTATGATGGTACAGCGACAGAAAAGTGGTCGAGATGAGAGGACAGTCCGACCGCTGCCCTTTGTAGAATGCACAGCCCTGCGAATAAAGATACTTCGATTAGAAAGCGAAAACGTTGCGGAAAAAGTTTGTCCATGCATCTCGCCTGAAAACTAATTAATGTGCTATTTGTTGAACGGTGATGTGCCAGTATTGGAGTAGCACATCGACAGGTTCCGTCTCGCGCTGGAAGACGGAAACCCAAGATATCTGACAAGTTTGAGAGTTTCTTGTTTTGACAAGCGAGTTCAAGAATGTTGTCTTTCATTTGAATCTAAACAGCATGCATGGTCAATAAATAGACCGGTCAAAGTAACATTCAGCATATCTGGTCGAAGCGAGTCTTCAAACCTTTCACAAACATTAAAACATTCGTAAAAATTTCCTAACGTCGCCGCGCATTTCGTTTTTCTTTTTTTTTTTGGGGGGGGGGGGGGGCGGGGTTTACTTCACCATTTCACAAAGCCCTTAATTAATTTATCTTCAAAATAATTTTGCCATCCGCGAGATGCTGGGTTCGTCATAAAACTGTGGTCGGAAGTGGCTCATACTGCTCGCCGACAGCGTCGGTGTGTTGCGCTACTGTACGCTATGCTTCGTTTAGTTGCTGCGCTCGGAGTGTGAAACTCGGAACGGTGGAGTACGAGTAAATTAGCGCGGACTTAAGGCACAGAAGCAATGGCGGCTTGTAGGGTGCCATATGATGTCACGTGCAAGGCAGTTCAGTCCACATGCTCAACTGAAGTATTAGCCCATGCATTCATCTGCCTAGCTTGGTGCCCCATATAAGCAGTCTACAATATTCACCTTTAATTACAGTCGCAATAAAAAAGAAAGAAAACGGCGATTGCTTGTGGCTACGTCGAACTTTGGGATTGTAAACAATACACACTCACCCGTCAGTTCGAGGGTCTCGGCGTCGTAATAGCCCCCTCGAGTGTTCGCGTCGCCGTCCCAAGACACCTTGTACGCCGTCCTACGCTCGAAGTCGACCACATTCGAAGGATTGCAGTTTTTAAATAAAGCCCTGTGGACGTCGCTTATTTCTCCGTTCTCGCAAAATCGAGTGAAACCTACCGATATATCTAAAACCTCGAAAACACTACACGAGGAAGGGTGAGGCTGCCGAGGCAACAAAGCGCACGAAACAACTGGATTTGGATTTGGATTCGAAGCTTTTGAAGACGCAGTTGCTCGAACGGATATAAGCGGCGAACGTTTTTCAAAATATAAAGTATACATTAAAATTAACGGATCGTCGAGTGTCGAACACTGCGTATGAACTTGAATGAGAACATATTTGAGAGAAATCTGTCAAGTGTCAACACTGCGTGTAAAGAAACTGGCGCCGCAAGTAGCCGATACGTCGGCAGTAGCCGATACATGAAAGACTAACTCATAATTTACGGAATCCTCGACCGTTTTCCGCCCGTGGCGCAGGGGTAACGCGTCGGCATACGGAACGAGAGGTTGCTGGTTCGACTCCCCGCGGGATAAGGACGAAAACGTTTTTTTTGTGTGTTTTTGTTTATTTTTATTATATCTATGATGGTGGCGGTGGTATTGAAAAATTTAATTCAGTCTAAAACCCCTGCGAAGCTGCTTCGTTAACGACCGCCCTGGTCCAAAAGGGTTCTAGTGCAGCTGAATACTGAATAATGCAGGTTTTTCTACCTTTTGTATCGCCGGTTTTAGCACCTTTCGTGACTCCACGTGTTTCCGCTCAAGAACTTTTAAGGTCATCTGAACGACGAGACATATAAGGCTTTTCCTTAATAAAAAAAATCACATCAACCCATTGACCACGCGGCTGCGGCCCATCATATATCATACGCGAGATTCAACGACAGCTTTTTTTATCGCGACATAGCCTCAAATCGCCTATTTTGTAGCGTGCAAAGTTGCGGAGCCTCCTCGACTTTGGGCCGCTCATTCAGCGAGGCGGTGGCGCATTCCCCCGACTATTTAACCTTCGAGCAAAGTAAAGCAAAGCAATGGCCGCGCGGTCTGTTTGGAAGCTGAACTTAATAGCCGCCGCGACCGTCCGATGCGCACAACGGTTACGGGGCTCGGAGGGTGCCGTGTCTATAAAAATTAATGTATCGACGAAACGTCTGTCCACCTTCAGTTGGTAATGAAAGGCGTAGATGAAGCATATGCGAAACGATGAACCCTACCGTGTGTACGGGTTTCCACGGTGCGTGATTGCAGACGAACGCACAGTTGCCGGTGTATCGGGGACTCAATGAGTAAAGACAAATCGCGTGACATTGTTGTGTCAGCACCTCGCGAGCCCGCGACTCATCACATGCTGGCAAATATGTCGCGACCCATATATCAATTGTTATTAAACGCCTCTGACGGCGCCGACAGAATACCGCGAGCAACAATTAATCAAGCACTTTTGATAAACATTGTGCGCAAAGAAAGTCCCGACGGCCGGGAAATAAGGCACTTTTGATGGAACCGAAGTGAAACATAAAACTTCTGACGACCATTAGACCACCTCTGACAGCCCATCAAGAGTGTCCAACAGACCATTAGGCGCCGTCAGGAACTTCTGACGGACCATCTAAACGCATCTGATGGTCCATCAGGACAGTCGGATGGTGCGTCAAGAATGGGCTGATGGTCCATCAGACTTTCTTGATGGTCCATCAGACTTTCTTGATGGTCCATCAGACCTTCTTGATGGTCCATCAGACCTTCTTGATGGTCCATCAGGAAGCCTGATGGGCCATCAAAGAAGTCTAATGGTCCATCAGGACAGTCGGATGGTGCGTCAATAATGGGCTGATGGTCCATCAGACTTTCTTGATGGTCCATCAGACCTTCTTGATGGTCCATCAGGAAGCCTGATAGGCCATCAAAGAAGTCTAATGGTCCATCAGGAAAGTCAGATGGTCCGTCAGGAATGGGCTGATGGTCCATCAGGAGTGGGCTGATGGTCCATCAGACTTCTTTGATAGTCCATCAGGAAACCTGATGGACCATCAGAAAAGTCTGATGGACCATCAAGAAACTCTGATGGTCCAAAAGGAAAACCTGATGGTCTTTTCGATCGGGATGCCTATGTGGAGTGCCCACCTAGGTTCCCCGTTGGCCCCCAAGGAGAGTGCCTCATGGGGTGCTAACGTGGGCAGCCCAAATAGGCTTTCTATGGGGTCACGAGGAGAGCCCATGTGGGCTGTCCACCTTGGTCCCTGTGGGTACCACGAGGAGGGCCATGTGGGCTGCCGAAGTAGACCCAATTTGGGCTCCACGAAGGTAGCATGTGAGCTTCCCAAGTAGGCTCCCATGAGCCCCCGAGGGCAGCCCATGCAGGATGCCCAAAATGGCCCCACCTAGGCCTGACTTGCGAAACCGACATGGGACCCACGTGGTCCCAATTTGTGCTAGTTGTGATGGAGAAACATTAGCTGATGACAACGAAAATGTGGCTGTCCCACTACAAGCCTTCATATAACTGTCGTTCTCTAACCTACTGTGGACGAACCATTGCCGGCCGTGTCCGGACGATAGGCTGTCTTCCATAGTTAAAGTAGGATTAGCAGAGGCACCTTCCGGATGGCATGATCCGTTCCAAACTTAGATTATTGATCCAAAGCTATCAGAGGAATTCGCCATTCGACAATTGCAATTCATGCAGAAACCACCTGAAGTTTCAAGGCGCCATAAAATACGTTGTCCTGTTACCGATTATTTAATCGGTAACATGAATTTTTTTTTTATGGTTTCTTGACAATTCTGGGGGTTTCTGCGCGCCATGGCTCATGGAATGTGAGGTGATTTGGCAAAGACTTTAGCACTAGAAACTGAAAATTTTCGTTAATATTAAGGGTTAGGATATTAACACGAATACATTTATGAGTGGTTGCTGACGAAATAAGACAAAATATTAAAGAAAAATAACAAATTTCGAATGTAACTGATTGTTCTATTAGCGTTTTCACGAACATACTTAGGAACACAGTGGAACACCAAGGGTATATGAAAACAAAGGCTGCGTTTAATGATTGAGCCATATATCCATCGATATATAGCAAAATATGATTATCCGATTGTCTGACCAGTCGTTTGACAGCTATCGACATAATGTACCGTATTTTTAGGCCAATAAAGTATGTGCTTGTTTATGGCGTCACATATAAAACTTTCCCATTTAATTAAATCACAAACAATATAAAAAAAATCGAGTTCACTAAGAGTTTTTGTGTTTAGAAAGTCGTTGTAATACGAAGTAGTAAATTCTGACTTGGAAGTTACCCTACAGTAAAAAAGTATAATGAATTGCAAGGCAATCGTCTTCCATACGTGAAGCGTTCGAGCATCACAAACAAATAGTAATACTCTGAGTTGCCCGACGCCAGACGCCTACTTTCACGGTGCCCTTCACCAGATAGTTAAACGCGTACTATATGGACACCTTAAAGGTGTACCCAGAATGTATTGACCCTGCCGCTAATCGGTTTGATAAACCCGGCGATCTTAGAGAGCCTTGCATACTTTCGAGCTCCTTTCCCACAGTGCGAACACGACGTAGAGCTCTACCTCGACTACCTTACTCATCCTGGTCACCCACCTGGTCACACGACCTCCCTGTTAACCAATCAGTGTGGGGCCTCGCGGCGAAGATTTTATCTGCGCTTCACGAAATGCCGAAGACTTAAAGGAGCTGTGTAACAATTTCAGGGCTTTGCTTAAATAATTGTGGAAGTTGATGCCCGACACTTCTGATGTGAACTACAGAAAACACAGTTTGCCTGGATACCCTAGTTTTTATTTTAAAAAATGAAAACGGACCAGGTTTTTGCCACCTCTCAACTCGTAGATCGCCTTCCGGGTCACGTGTGCAGTGACTTTGATGGGGTAGGCGCGGGTTTCCGGTACAGTTCTCTCTCTAGAGCCATCAGTGAGCAGCGAGAGCTCATCCTCTCGCGACCGCGTGACGACGTGCTGGCGGGCGCAGCGCGAACAATATGGTGAAAGGACGAAAGTCTCATCCGGTTCCGGCCATACCCGTCCGGCCCTGTCCCCCTCCTTCTCCGGCTTCTGGCGGCTGTTCGCGGTAGCAGATAGAGCTGACGGTTTTGATGACCTCGGATAGATGGCGCCACTAAAACTCTCTTTAATAAAAGTTTTGTCGATGATACCGGGTTTTTGACGCATTTATATTTATGTTGGAACGACAAGATCTATAGAAAAGTTACCTTTTATCGAGCAGGTATTCGCACAACTTGTTATCCTTCTACAAGACCCCCATCGCCGTCAAGCCGCGTTGTTCTCATGGCCGCCGCTCGCGGCTGCAGGTCGGGGAATATTCTAATTTTTGCCTCACTATTACGCGGCGCAATCGCAAAATTTCGATCAAAGGAGGTGTGTTTTCTGCCATTTGTGACAAGATGAACAATGTCAAAAGTGGAAGATGCCAATTTTTTCACCGTTAAAATCGTTGCACAGCTCCTTTAAACAAAGAGCGTTTGACGTTAAAAGTTTGATATATGATGTCAAGTTGCCATCTGCTGGACGCAGAGCGGATACCCCGCAGGACATTCCCGCCAAATAGTTGCTAAACTCTCGGCGATGTGTTCCAGTAATTAGTAATGTAATTTATTACTTTTTGTAGCAGGTAATTTAGTAATGTAATGAATTACTCCAGCGACGGTAATTGTAACTAAATTACCTAATTACTTGTTCCAGTAATTAGTAATGTAATTTATTACTTTTTGTAGCAGGTAATTTAGTAATGTAATGAATTACTCCAGCGACGGTAATTGTAACTAAATTACCTAATTACTTTTTCGCACCAGGCATATTTTTTGTGTCCACAATACACAAGTGCGCTTTTCTTTTTTTTTTTTGCTTTTTCTTTTTCCTTTACACCTTTCCAAAAAAACGCTCTTTGGCCGCCGCTATGTTGCTGATGCTAATGCGGCTGGTGCGACTCTCGCGCTCGCTATCAGCTAGACATGTTCCGCCACTCTCTTGAACTGTGAAAACCCGCTCAGCGCGGTTCTCTACCTATGTTTTGCGGTTTTGCTTTCGAAGTTTTCTGGCCCCTCTTGAAAGTTTCCGCTTACTTTTTCTGATGCATACTGCGTACCCTCTCTGTGTTATCTTCCACTGTGAGAAATAGGGCTGGTAAGTGCATTCCATTCGAGCTTTTCTGCTCGATATTCTGGGGAAACGAAGGAGAGGAAGTAGGTCGAACTAAGGCCCCTGGTGGAACGGCCCTCGACGCGATTTTGCGAACAATGACAATTATTCTCCCCCCTACCAGAGATAATCCGCGTAGGGTCCTCAGTCATCTCCAAAAATAATTGTCCCGGTTGGGGTGGGAAACGGATCAGTCACGTGCGTTCCTCTGTCCATCGGTAAACATGCAACAGAGAGTTCTAGCTGTGTGCCATGAACTGTGTAAATAATGTAAATAAAGTTATCTGTAAAAGGAAGTTATCAATAGCTCCTTTATATTTAAAAGTATACAAAAGTAATGCGAAAGTAATGTCATTACTTTTAAAAGTAATTTGTAATGGTAATTAATTACTTTCTGGCTGTGGTAATTTGTGATGTAATTTAATTACATTTCAGCAATTTTCAGCAAAGTAATTAGTAATGTAATTTAATTACAAAATATGAGTAATTGGGCCAGCTCTGGTCGTGACATCCTGAAAATACACTCGCTTAATAATTTATATGGCCTGGTTTCGAAATCCGCCTGCCGCAAAACCTTGTTCACTGCGATGGACTCACCCTTCCCCTGCCCTCCCCCCTCCCCCACACACACACATACACACGAAAAATCAACCCGTGGCCACGGTTATACCTCGGCTTCACGAAATGCTGAACACATAGCTAAATAACATTTTACGTTAACAAAACAGCAAAAGTGAAAAAAAAATCATTCGAGACAGGCAATATCACCAAGAATAATCACAGCCTCTGAAGAGGCTCCTCTAACTCTACATACCGCCATCGCGCTAGGATGGCTCTAACTCAGCATCTCTGCTTGAGGCCGACGCCAAGCGTGCTTCGGCACATTGACTGGAAATGAGGCCCGGCAAAATGGTGGCGTAGCCCTCTTTTTCAACACTGTATCTTTGCTCACCCTCACCGTGATGACGCCAAATTTATAGTGCACGGGCGTTAACTATTCTAGCGGTTGTTGGGGACAAGTGAACATTTGGACCTTCCAAACACTAAGGTCGTGCAAACAAAAATTTATGTAAAAACAAAAATTGCGTATTTTCCAGATATCAAGTATGAAGTAAGTACCTGACGGTACAGCACGTACTGTCCATTAAAAACCGACAACTTCACACTCCTACAAAAGTTGGGATCAACGTTCCTTAAAAATTGGTATGAACATGGGCTTTGCCGGCTACCTTATTTGGGTAAACCAGCAGTCTCCAAACCCCGGCCCGCGGAGGTCTCTCAACCGACCCCAACTGGCCGCGGAATTTTCAGTGACGCTCGGCTCGTGCTCTTGTACCAACAGGCTCCCTGCTGCTACCGACGCAAAATTAACCACGGGGAAAGAAGCGGCGTGCGACACGCACCAAAAGTATCATATAAGTGGTAATTCATGTCCCGGCGATAGTTCTGCCTCTTATGTATTCCACGTTGAAATCACCCAAGTCACCGTTCTTAGTGCCCTATTTCATGTCAGCCTAGCTGTGTCAAAGCTCCTTTGCGTTTTCATGTATTTTTTCCTTACTGTCCCGTGTTTCAAAAATTGTATTGTGTCGCCATAAGTACCATTATTCTCATTAGTGTCCTGTCCAATGTGACTATGCAAAAGTTGCTATGCGCTTTGATGTATACTTGGAGAGTGTACTTCACTATAATTATTGCATAACGTACGCCAGAATTCACGGTTTGCTGAATTTTAATATAAAGTATATGTACTTATCGCATTTTATTATCTTATCTTTTCTGAAGCACACACTTTGTATTTAATTGCTTATTTAGGTTTTTACGTTATTAGGTTCACTTTCCGGCCATTGAGACTGAGATTACTCCTCAGTCCGGCACTTGAGCAAAATACTTGGGGACCCTTCGGATAAACGGCTATTGTTCCGTTAAAAGCAGCTGATTTAATGATTTTCTTGATAATATATGTAATTTTTTTTTCGAAAATAAAATGTATATAGTATTCGCACCGTTACCAGCCAAAACTGGAAACGTAACTAAGATCTCCAGAAAATGTACCTAATCTATATTTCAAATAATGGTTTCAGTGGTGATAAAGAAATTCTGTGTGATGCTATACACGGCGTGCGGGTCACTTCCGGCCGCCGTGACAGGGGGACAGATATACTTCAGGATTCTCTATGTTAACCCTGTGTTTGGGTGGGTGCGCGAGGACTCTTGGCTCCTTAGTGAGCAATTCCGCGGGAGCTATGCTCTAAAATACCGCAGTATCGTGCTTTTAAGTTGCCGATGCGTACCGACACGAAAATATATCACAAGTGAAGTTCCTTCGTTTATCTCGGGACGAGTAATGCCACCGACTCCCACGAGAATGGGTGATCGCAGGACGACGGCATTGGTAGAAGGTACTAGCCACCTTGATGTGCTGCCTGCAGATGAAGATGGCTTAACGCGACGAACCCGGGAATGGGGCGCCAATGCCACGGTGCATTGACCGACCATCTCCGTAGAACGATGGGCCATTACGGCACATAGATACGCAGTGTTCACGGTATTATGGGAAAGAAACCTTGAAAACCAAATTTTGCAAGTCAAAACACTAGAACATCGTGCATTACAGACTCGCCTCGCGCTGAAGAAACCTTAATCAATACTTTCGGAAGATTCTCTGCTAAACTCATGACCCTGCACTTCAACTCATGCCGGGAAACTCGCCACGTATCTTCATCGCCTAGTGGAGTTTGGTGCCCAGCGGCGAAGCCTTGCCGTTCAAAAAATAATTAAACTCGTTAGAACATTTGTAGGTTTAAAGCCGTTCTCAGATATATGAACCAGGCTAGTCGAAAAGGTTATCCTGAAGATGCGCCCACGATATCTTTGGCAGATTTGTCATTTCCTTGAGGAGCCTGTGCTATTTCTTTTCGGCCAAGAGTACAGGCGGGTTGTTGATCACGTATAAGTAAATTTCAGGACATACCTTAGTTAGTTCCCCTGAAGATGGGCCCACGATACCTTTGGCAGATTTGTCATTTCCTTGAGGAACGTGTGCTATTTCTTTTCGACCAAGGGTACAGGGCGGGTTGTCAATCACGTATAAGTAAATTTGAGGACGCATCGCAGCTAGTTCTCCGCGGTGAGAGTTTTAAATTATGCGTTACTCACTAAAGTCAAGTCAAGTCAAGTCAAGTCAAAATGTGTTTTTATGTGTACACAAGATGTTAGATAATTACACTTATTCAGACGGGTGTCCCAAAGTTTTCAAAAGAAAACTGTTGAAGGGACCCCTTGGTAATAAAGGGTTAGTCAGCGATCAGTTAACACCATTATATAAAAAATAAAAAAAAATAAAAAAAACGAAACACAATTGTGGCATCTACATAATCAAAATATTAAACCAAGTGAAAATAGAGAGAAGAAAAGCTAGAAAGTCGAGAAAAAAGGACAATATCAGTGTGTTTGTGTGTTTGTGATTGTGTGAAAGGTGTGCCTAGGAGAGAAGAATGAATGGGAGGGGGGGGGAGGGGGAGGGGCATAGAAATGGTTGATGAATCATGCAGATAGGATGTCCCCAAAAACAAGGAAAATAGTAGGTCTTCAAAAAAAGCAGATAGTAGGTCCTCAAAAACAAGGAAATCAATAGCCAACCGAAATACAAAAAACTCCCTCTGGATGATCGGTCATTATTTGATTTTGTGTACCTCCACCCAACCTGTAAAACTCGACACTAATGCAAAACCTTAAGCTTTTAAAATGTTACTTCTGTTTTAACATTTCTATTTTCAGTTCCGTCACAGCAACTCTTGGTTCATCACCGGGGTATACTGCCAAAAACATTATAAACCTAAAGTCTGAAGGGCGTAAGTGTGTTTTTTTTATAAAATATGTTGTAAAGCACATATCACCTGTGTAAACATGATAACGTTCAATTTACTTTAAACTAATGTGCCACGTTTTTCTTATCGTCAGCGAGCATAACATGGATTTGAAGGTTCTGTATACACCTGCCACACCGTTTTCCTTATTGTCTATAAATAATCATTAAACATAAAATTTACAGCGGAAAAACATTGATGACGGATCTTTTGCCAATAAAAGATGGGTATTTTGGCATTGATAAAGATACTTTCATTTATATCATATGATTATGACTGTTTCCAGTCTCACTTCTTTTTCATGAAAGAAAGCATGTATGTGCCAAACAGGGTTATAAATATATATAAAAAGTCTACATCTGGGCGTCAACTAAAACATTTACCCTAATTAATCGCCACCTTTTAATCGATTAATTGTTCGATTCTTCGGTTTTGTTCTTCCCAAACATAATACATTATGAAAACGTAATCCTTTAGTTGTGTTTTGCCTATGCTGAATATGTAATAAACGGCGGAATTAACCGTCTCTGATTTCAAATCAACTTTGATGTGCTGTTAAGAATGTTCAAAAGATTTCCGTACTCAGACATTATTAATTCAGCCGCAGGGGCAAATGGGTTCGTTGATATACCCCTGGAATAGCGAACTCATTTGATTGTCCACCGTAAACTCTAAAAAAGGCGTGTTTCTAATTTCCGGCACAACACTCGGAGAGCCAATCACCGCAACTTAGGGAGTCAAATCAGCGAATGACGATGTGGAATGTATATGTCTAGACCCAAAAGCGCAGTCTGAGTTGCGACAATAATCAATGCAAGTGTGACGTCTTGGATTGCTTAATGTCACAACTCAAACTGCGTTTCTTGGTCTAAACATATGGTTCGGTATCATCATTCGCTGCGCTGCCTCCGCAAGTTGCGCTGATTGGCTCTCCGTGTGTTGTTCGGAAGAGTAGACTCACGGGCTTTTTTTAGCGTGTAGACTTTGCTCTGCTAAATAGACACTTTAAAGTGTCTGGAACACGTAAAATCCTCTCTATTTGTTTGGAGTGACAAATCTCACCCCTACAGTTTATTTTAGTAAAATGTTTCGACCACCGTTTTCCTTTATACAGGTGTGCCCTCGCACGTCTTCTTGGTAAAAGCATTCATTTTTTACTTTTGTTTCAATGTCACGTGTTAACCGATTAACAGGTTAAAACAATTATTCGCGATTAAGGAATTAATTTATTGATGGGTAGGTTAATCGATCAAGTGCCCTGCCTTATAAATAACCAATCATTGTATAAACCTAACAATAATAGGAACGACATAAATCCAGCCAATGATGGGAACTTTCACTTCACTACCTATCGAAAGGTCGAAAAAAACGCGAAACAATTCAACAAACTGTATTATGATTATGCATCTTCCTCACAGAAAACACCTCCCTTTCGGTGTACGATGGCTATATGATGTGCAAGGAGTGCGCTATACTTAGATTTCCTTATGCAAATGGTAAGTTTTCATTCTTTAAAAAAATCTGAAATTAAAGTGACAAATAAAAATATATCATATCTTATTTGTCTGGTTTCACGTCACAAGTGAATTAATTAATAACTTCATAAGTGCAGTTTTTTGTTCATGCATAATTACGAAAAGTTTATTTTAATATTAATCACTAAATAGTTTAGTCAATACTCTCCGATACAAACATCAAAACCACGTGACCCAAGCGTACTTTTGTAAATGTCAGTTTTTGCCACAATCTTTCTTCCCTTTTCGACTGTCAGCATAAAATATTGATATCAATATACGGGCAAGTATTTGCAACGCCTATTTGCAAGGATCTTGCTTAAACTTGCTGATTTGCATTTGGACGGTACAGAAAACGCATGCGGCCTCCTCGTTCCCGAAAGTCAACTTGGCAAAGACATCACCTGCTGCAGATTTGTCTTTGATCTCATCTGCGGCACCACTCCAAAATACATAATCTACGACGAATCCTGCTGAACAAACGTCTATTGGCTCTAGATATTCTGCAACTCTGATTTTGATTATGTAACCAAGTTTTAAAATAAACGCGGGTTGTATTGGTTGAAAAATGTTTTTACACATACTCTATGAAAAGATAAATAATATATTGTATAGTTTCACTTGAAACTTGCATGCAAAATGTTTATCATACCCGAGACTCTAGTAGGAGATCGAGGTTCATACTCCAGCAAACCGAATATGGTTTTCTGTGAGCTCTCTAATTTTCAATTTCATTATATTTTTAAGGCAAGTTCTTCTGAATATATTGATTTGCTGCCTTATAGAGTCATATCAGCACATCATGAAAACTCTGTTATGTGCTTCACGTGCCTCCTGACCTTCGCAGATTGCGCCAAAGTTCAAATTTATTCGGCACAGTAGAAAATTTAAATGCAAGCCTTGAGAAAATTGAAAAAGAAAATCCTGTTTTATTACGTTAATTGGTGAAATTAACTTCCCCGGTATCAACAGCAATGAAGGTCTAATTGATTAAGGTTTTGAAAATAAAAGATATTGAGTAAAATATCTAAATACTCCTGGAGCATTTCAGCTTTATCAATTTATGAACGTGTGGACACGTATTTGGTCATAAAAAAGTGGCTTCGGAAAGACATCAAATTGTTGTCGAACTTTTCTTTTTCTTTCCTAAAATGTATCCATTATCTGTAATTAAATGATAATTTGGTTTCCCTCCACAATAAAATACAGAAAGTGTAAAAAATGTATATTTCAAAAATTAACAGTGTGCCATGTATTATTGATCCCTGCTTCTCTAACAGCAATCAGACTTGGTTTTTAAAAGAAGGTAATACTTCATTCAAAAACCAAACGTACCGATGTTTGGAGTGACTGGAAGTGTCATTCCCGTGAGCACTTATCTACAGAAAGGTAAAAGCGGTAGCAATGCTTAACTGTGATAACAGCGGCTTGCTTAACATCTTACAATATAATTCAAAGAAAGGTTTGGAGTGTTGTTGACTCAAACACTAGAAAGGCTGGACCCTCTTTATTATCAGGGTGGGGCAGTGTGCTAAACCCGTTGGCATCGGCGGGGCCTCTTGAATAATGTGTTTAGTATTTGGAATACTGAACACTCTTTCTTAACCAGGACATGTAAGCTTAACCTTTGTATTCAACAATGAAGAGGTCACCTGTGCTGATAGATTGCTTGGAAGAAACTCAAGTTTCGATCCGGATAGAATAACAAAAAAATGCTAATTCTATAAAAAAATGTATCCGCGAACAAAAATGATACGCATCTAACTCTGCCAAGGAGCGTTGTTGCTAATAATATTTATGTTGAACTCATAAAGACGTAAAGCGGAAACAGATATCAACATTTTGTGCAAAAGTTGTTTTGTATCTTTTTAGAGTAATATTAATTTTTTTTTTAAATCAAGAAACATTTACCTGTTCATAGTGGGAAGGAAGGTATGATTAATAAAATAAGGTGTTGCTTTTGTTGGAAAATACTTTTCGTGAGCCTGAGGTTTTCTTTGTAATACTGTGTTGTTTCGCCTTGCCCCATCACTCGGCGCTTTGGTGTTTGATGGGGATCGTTTCTTATATTTGAAAAAGCATCTATTCCTCCCAATGATATTTACACAGGCAAAATTGTTTATTTAAGGTGAGATGCGGGTTGAAAAACGGCAATGTTAATAATAAATAGATTTTCGTGTTTAGGGTATTTTAGTGTGTTTGATATATTTTATATTATATTTTATGTATAAAAATCGGGATATAATATGATTGTCAAATTAATCAAACAGACATTTTAATATATCCCAGCGACCCAGAAAGGCCCACTAAGGAGCATTTTCGCGAGCGATATTCTCCAAATCGTCCTGTCGCCCCCATCGTACGTATTTTGAGAATTAAGCCTACACGTTTTCTCCCCGCCGTATTCCTCGATAGCTGCAATTTTCCATGGAATAACATTTTTAAGAAGTTCTCGCTCCAAAGGAGTGCTGAACGCAGCTATGGTAACATTCGAACGCGTTTTTGGTTTTTGATTTTCGTTCTTTTTTCAGCATTTTCAGAATTCATGGACAGTACCTTTTCTTTGTACACACCATATGTATCTCTCTCTCTCTATATATATATATATATATCTATAGTATCTTTTCTTTCTACATATATATATATATATATATATATATATATATATATATATATATATATATACAGTAAAAAAGGCAGGGAGTTATTATTGAATTGAATAAAATAACGTTAGGGGAATGGAAGGGAAAGAGCTTGCGAAAAATCGGGCCTGAAGTGCGCTCCTGGTCAAATATTTAGCCAGCTTTCTTACCCCCTAACATTAATGCAATAGATTCAATAACCGCTCTCTCCTCTCCTCCCTCACAATATTACTACGGCTGGACTCGTTATTGTTCCCTCTCTCACTCAATATCTGGCCTGCAAGTACGTCATCTAAAACAAAATGGGTTGTGTGCATGTTTATACAGCCTAGAACTTAGTCTGCCTCAGCATTTGGTAAGTTACGTCTTAAAAGTATTTAGTTAGAGTTACAGTTACTTAAAGATAGAAGTACCGCGTTACAATTACAGTTACTTCGGCAGAGTAACTTAGTTACTTTCAAGATACTCGAATGTGTTCAGCTATGAAGACATGGATGACAGAACAAAATGAGCAACATTTTCAATTATTTAGGAATATCTGAAAACTGAACTTTTCGATATATATATATTTAATAACGCCATGTTATTATGCCGTGTTATTATTTGCTTCATATTGTGTCGAAGTAGCAACTGCTTGTCGAAGTCTTTGTCGCTTAGCTTTTCCCTCTTGATGTTGAAATCGTCCTGTCTCTTGCTGAAAAAACGCTCAACAACACGCTCGTTTTCAAGTATCCGAATGAATTCAGAAGAAAGCTCGTTTTCAATTATTACGCGCCCCAGGTGCGCTAGAAGGAAGTGCGAAATCGAGGCGTAAAAAAAATCTTCTTAATGTTCGGAAGGTCGTTGAGGCTGGTTAACGCCGTCGAGGGGGCGACAGTCTTCTATCACTGTGCTTCACTGGTCAACACAACAGTAGGACCCAGTCGCAAGAAGGAGTCGTCGTCGTCATCATCATCGCATGTTGGCTCCCGTGTGACTTGCTCAGAAGGGCGCAGTGCGCTGCATTTCTCTTCAAAAAGCAGCAGAGAAAGCGCTTTCTGCGCTTCATCTATTCATAAAATTTTAAATTTTGAATGTACCGCTGCAGCCAGAAGGACCTTGTCGGACCTGAGCTTTTCAGAATATCTACGAATGAAATAAAAACAGTTACTCACATAAGTAACATTAAAAACAAAATTTTCACGAGCGGGTCGCAGTAAAAGTGCACTAGCTGTTACGTCCTCGGTATTCTCCATATGATGCGTGCCTTAATAACTATTCGTAGGAATATGCTGGCCAAGGCACTTTAGGTGTAATATGTATTCAATATTATCAAACGTTTTGCTTATGATATAATAAAAATGTGTGCATTACTTGTCTTAATATTTGTAAATGAGCCTTTCTGGCAGACGTAATTTTCTACAAAAATGCGCTAACAAAGAGGTCTTATATTTTTCAAAGGATAAGAAACTGATTTCGTCAACACTGCGATCTTCCCTGTGTCTACAAGCGAGCTGCGAAACTTGAGCGTAGGGAGTGAATGTAGCTGCCGCATCAGCGCCACCAATGTCGTCACTAAAGCGCTCATGAACGCGTACTGTTCTCCTTCTAGGATCTCAATTGCATTGGCAACCCCTTTTATCGTCTAACGAATAAAAAATACTTAATAAAAATTTCGCAAAAATGTGAAAGAGCTTTTGGGGATTCCTGGCAACACTCCTCGATGAACTTCTGATCGTATTTTTGTTGGCGCGGCAGTGCGACGGTGTCGCAGACAACCTCTATCTTGTCCTTCTGGGCCACGTCAACAAAATTCTTTGTATCATAGAGTGAATTCAAGCGAGTAGTGTTACGAACCAAGAAGAATCTCCCTAGTTTCTTTTTTTATAACTTCCGCCGCTTGAGTGGACTGGCCCTGCTTATTTCAAATAAGTTTCAGTTTTCCGAACACGGCTGTTGCCGTTTGACGGTACGTGCTAATCGTGCAGCCTGTGTCTACATCCACAGTCGCTACTAAGTTCAAAGTATGCGCGGCACATCTCCTAAGCTTGGACAAGTGTAGCACTTCGCCTTAGGAGTTGTTCATCACAGGGCGAAAATTCAAAAGGCTGGTGAGGTCTTCGGAAGTCGGGGTGTCTGCTTCCTCATCCTCGTGTGCCATCTCTCCAAAGGGGTTAATTCAAAGAAGAATAAAACTATTCAAAATAGCACCGTCGAAAGTATACCATAGTCAATCAAAAAGGAATCCACAGACTGGAAGTTTCATTGACGTAGCTTGCGAATTGGCTTCTAACAATATCAAGGGCACAACCAACGCTATATTTCTGCCTCGTTTTGATGTAATGTACAGAGGGAATATGGTCGGGCAAGATTAATGTGATTTAGCCCGAGCCAAGAACCTCACTAGTCTCCCGCTCCACCTTTCCGAAAATTATAAAAGGGTGAAGGAAATAACCTTCGATAGTCTGAATGTCAAGGATTTTACACTAGGGTACATAGACAAGTCTGACTTGAAGCCAGTGGGCCAGGACCTTTTGCTGCGATATAATTTCAAGAATACAAACATACTTTTTCTTTCGGTCCTTTCTTTGTGAAGCTTAATGTTGAACTCGTCGTCACTATGACGTTAACCCAGTCGCGGAGATATTATCATGTGACGATGGTAGAATGCGGCTCTTGCATTGGACAAAACCACTGCGCGACCACGTGGGTTGGCTCCGTCACACTCAGTGCCTTGGCGGATATTCGCGCAGGAGCTCGTAGCGAATTGCTGTAGCGATAAGAAGAGCAGCCAGACTTTAACGTTCAGAGCACTGCACAAGGTCCGTTAACGGCGGACCCTAGCGCGGCTAAGATGGAC